AGGGCCCGGCCAGAGTGGCGTGCAGGTGGTCTAGTGCTCTACGGGGAGTCAAGGAGGGGAGGAGAGGAGGTTCAGTCGCATACAATGCCACTATAAAAGATTAAAAACTTTGGGAGAATGGGGACTCGCTGTGACCCGCCTCCTACTCTAGGAGCTGAGAGGATGGGCGGAGAGGAGGAGAAAACACACAAGCTAATGTACCTGGACATCAGTGCATTTATACATTTATTTAAAAAAAAAAAGTGTGAAAAAAGATTTGAGTAGACTCATAGACAACAGTCTACAATCTGATTGGACGCAATGCTACTATACACTACCAAATAATGTGTGTGCTAATATGAAATCATGGAGGACTTCAGTGCTGGTTATCAAATATGTAAATCTGTGTGTATGATTCCTACATCTTTGTACACAAATATGTAAATGTGTATGTATGATGCCTACGTCTTTGTACACTTTTGTCAGAACATGGTCTCTTACTGAAAGAACGCAAATGAATATAGAGCAGCAATTCATACCCAGGAGGTACTTAGTAAGTTGCAGGGGGTACAAAAACATTTAACACTTAAAATAAATAAATAAATAAATATAATAAGGCTACCTAAAGATTAAAATAATCAATCTAACAATAAACAATCTAATTATTTTATTTTTGTAATTAAAGGCAAAAACATTTTTTTATTTTTTTGCAATTTCAGTTACTTTAGAAAAAACAATAAAAATTGGGTAACACTTTTACAATAAGGATCAATAAGATTTGTTAACTTCATTACACTTCTAAAGCATTTATTAATCTTAGTTACATGTTAATTTCAGCATTTACTGATACATTATTTAAATTAATATTTGTATCTTAAAGCTGCAGTTCGTACGTTTTGCCTCTTTGTCGCCATCTCTGTTTGAAAACCTGCAATTGCAGCTATTTGCGGAATTATCTTCCTTGCGTGGGTTGTGCACTGGCACGGCTTCAGCGCGGATGAATCTAATGTGTGGCTGTCAGTCACCGCACAGGTGTGGATACTGCCCTTTGTATTCACTGATTCTACATCTTGATAGTATGTCCCAAATAAGAGTTTTAATTGGAGAATGTCATCTGAACATGTAAGTAACAACTGCCACTTTTGTTCTGATCAACTGAGGAAAAAAGCATTACAATAACCTGCGCTATCAATGGTCAATAAATCTAAGGATCGGTTAGCTCATATCACATCAAACCATGCCAATTATTATTATTATTGTTATACTTTGTTTTCAAATTGTTGTTGACATTAATAACATCAGCATTGCGTGAGTGCGTGTATTTAGTGTGTATTAGCGTTACCTGTAGATTTACATTTCTGTACAGTCTAGGGCTGGACAATAATTCAATATCAATATGTATCGCGATATAATTTTTTTCAATAACGGTGATATGATTTTTAAACACATTTCCGATATTTCGATATTTAAAAAAACATTTTCGTAAACGGAAAAAAAAAAAAAAAAGCAAATCAAATGTTGAGGCTCCGCCATTATTATTGAATGTCATTAGTCACGCTTATTTATGCGCGTTTGTTCGCGGGAAAGTGAGCAAGACACGGCAGTTACGGTATCATGATTATAGTTAAATAAGATGAAAGACATAGGCTATAATATAAAGAAATTAGCTACATTTAAATCTTTTCAGTAATTAGCTGCTGTGAGAAAAGGCTATAAACGATCCGTCACCTGCAGCATCCTCACGTGCGATATAGCATACTATCCGGGACAAATTCTTTATGCTTACAGACGTGACGTAATGACGCAGCGCCATGCTCGAATTTCCCGCGAAAACCTACCCGTACCACTCAACTTAGAAAACTTTATTACAAGCTTACCGTTGTGAATCGAGCTAAAGTACGGCGATAGTTTTTAACACTGGCTGGTTATGTACTTGCTCAAAAAATTATTTTGGATAATTTTTAACCAAAAAAGTTACGGACCGCAGCTTTAACATTATTTAATGGACACAAGTTAATAGTTGTATTTCATTAACAAATAATAATAAAAAAGATTGATAAATACTGTAACAAATGTATTGCTTATTGTTAGTATGTTAATGCATTAATTAGCGTTAACTAATGGGCCTTATTGGAAAGTGTTACCAAAAATATTGTAGTCAGTTTATGTTGTTTTTACCTTCAAAATAAGTCACTAGGAAACAACATAAATAACAGTTTTAAAACATGAACAAAAGTGTGGTTACATTTCTATATAATTATCTGCTAAAAAAAAAAACTAATATATTATATTATATTATTATATATCATTTTCTGAAGAAAATTTGTGTAGTACTTGCCCATGGAAAACTCGTCACCACTATACTAATCGCCTTCCAGGACACTGCTATGCGGCTGCTAATGTGTTCTGAGTGGTTTTAGGCTTTTGTTTGATTACTAGCCCATTTTAAAAGAGCCCACCATTGAGATTTAATCATATATTGTGCCTAGAAAGGTCGTGGTTTAATAATTAGGGTTACGGGATTAGAAGGAAAAGAAGCATTAAAACAATACAGATTATTTGCAACACTAATAGCAATGTTTGCCTTAACAATCACAGCTAATAATGTTTGTAAATATTATGATATTATGATTAACTATTTCCAGCGTTATGAAAGTCTTTCCACAGTATGTTTTTTATGCAACTATAATCACTTAAGTACTATTGCACATGAAGCCTTAACAAACATAAAGGACCTCAAAGTATACAAAGAAAATTAAATCAGAGCGCTGAATCATTACATTTCAGCCACTGACAATGGGCTGCAGGACATTAGTTATATAAAAACTAAACAAACCAACAACACATATAAACTAAAGCTTGAAATCATTTCAAAAGGGTCCCTTTAATATTTCCCTGCAGTGGCTCAAAACAAAACGGCTTTTTCACCTTGAGTGCATTTCCACTTGGCAACAGCACTTCAATGCTCCCTACAGGAATTCACAAGCACACATACAGTATAAGTCACAGACACACAGTCATCAGCGTTCGTCCTTGTGCTGGTGCAGCTCGCACCGGTCTGAAGCTGCATAATGCGGAAGAGTGGAAAGCAGGCAGACGTCACAGTGCAGAATACTGTAAGGCCATCCGGCAGAACTGGCCTAACAATCTCATACTACTAGACATATAATGTGCCAAAGGTTCAGGAGAAGAGCGAGAGATGCCAAGTCATCTTATTATATGAATCCCAAACTATCCCAGCTGAAATATTTATTAAAGGGGTCCCTATTATGCTCTTTTACAAAGTCTTGATTTTGTTTTGAATATGGGTTCTTCCATTCCTCCTTTTCAGGGTGATGCAGCTCCTCTCAGAGACGTACACACACTCCTTCTCGATCTCTTCCTCAACACACATTGCTGCATGTGCGCATGAAGATGTCAGCAGCATCGAGCTCTTATAGATATTGACAGTGAGTTTTTCCATTATACACAGCAGCCTGGAAAGCAACTTCCTCTATTCACCACACCAACACTGATGAAACGCCTCAGAAATGGACGAGGTGTTGAAATCTCAGATTCACACTCACTGATGGTTATTTCATCGATTTTTTTTTCTCTTACTGAGCGTGTGTGTTAAAAAAAACAACTTCATCTGGGCAACACCACAGAATTCTGTCCTCATTGAGAATTTATTAAGGAAGGATAGGTGTCAGAGTTAGTTTATGGCGATAAAAAGGGGGTAATTAAGATAATTTGTTTACAAAGAGAGGAAAAATGAGAGGTTTGATGGTTTTAAAGCTGACTTGATGCTAATAGTGCAGATAATTATACCTCAGTGTGCCTTGTGTGTGTGTGTGTGAAGGTAGCCTCAGAAGTGTGTTGACAGCTCACACACCGTCCGCTACTGAGTCAACGACGCTAAATGACAGTACAAGGAGTGTGATGATATGCGACGTGGCCGTCAAATGGTGATAAAACAAAGCGCTAACTTTCGGGAGAAAAATTTTATGTATTTCCAATTGATGCTTCCTTGTTTCATCCGGTTGCCTCATGGTTTTGCATTAGAAATTATTTGTTTCTTTGATTTAGAATGTATTATCTGTGGTGTGCATAATGTATATGCAAAAATGTGTGTTTGATAGACTGTGCATTGTATAATTTGTGAATACTGTGAAAACAGTTTGACTAAGCTAAGCTTTTTGTTGAAGATACCGTTAAATTTCTGATGGCTTTAAGGTCATTTGCATGCTTTGTACTCTTGAAGTCAGCATGAAAAGAAAATTCATGCAATCTATTTTCTAAATGCTTGTTATTGATCTTATTGTGAACGATTCAGCCATGCATTTTTATGACCTCATCATTTTTTATTAAAATATCTTCCTGTGAAAAGAACATACTTCTATCTGTAGACATATGCCAGACTTTTCCAATCATTTAATCCGCTTAAACCCTGTAGCCTCCATTTTTGAGAGCAACGGACACATCTCAAAATCTATATAGCCAAGTCCCCACCTTCCTTTTATTTATTTATTTATTTTTTTCAAAAACCTGTTATACTTGGATGCGTGTCAAAATATGGAAGAAAGGATTTGCTGCTACTTCTGTTTCGTCGAGACATTAAATGTTGACAAAATTAACTTAGCAGATATTTGCATTTAAAATTTACTATATTTCTTTACTGAGAAAATAACTCTGCACAGATTTTTGTCCAATCAGATGCTCTCTAGAATGAGAATTTCCTTCTCCCTAATGGTTCAAAACTGTGACATAACTAATGTATACTGTCTATTAAAAATAATTAAAATGGGAAAGCACTTCGGCAGAAAGCGCATCAAGGAATAAAAACTGTGCTTATCAAGCTGAGATTTTACAAACAGAGAAAGTGAGATGAAAAATCTGGATGTCGTCCAAATTCTCCACAGCCTCCTGTACGCACATGTATGGCCCACTCACTCAGCTGCCTAAAACCCCTTCTCACCCTCTATTTCACCTCATATTCTTTTCTCTCTCTCCACACCCATCATCCTCCCTCAGCCACTCACTCGTATCGGGATGTGCTCCATCTCTCTTTCCTTCTGTGGGTTGCGATACTTCTCATAAAAGTCTTTCTTTTTCTTGTTCTCCCGCTCTTCCTTCCTCTCTCTCTTTTCAGCCGGCTCATCAGAGGCATCCGGGGACAGTTTCTTGGCTGAATCCGGAACCTTCTCCACCTCCAGAGAGTTCTCGTTGGGGTTCAGCACAATCACCCCGTAGCCCTCCTGAGAAACAAAACACATACAAATGAATAAACAAATAAACAGGCTCCAATGGTCTTTCTGATTGTATTGGAGTTGCCAAAACAAACCGGCCCTTCATAATAAAGCAAGGTGTCCGGGGAGAGGCATGTATGCCAGCGCTGTGAGTCAAGGAATTGTGTAGCATGCAGTAGAGGAGTGAACTGTTGGGAGAGGGATTAGAGCAGCTCTCAATGCGAGCGGAGGTCAGTGTTGCTTTCATGTGCGCTCAAATTCAGCTTCAGCTTCAGTTAGTGAGCTGAGATTCAGCATAAAGAGCAATATTGATACTGTGGAAATCCAGCTTTGAGGAAATCCAGGAATACACACACACACACGCACATATATATATATATATATATATATATATACACAGTATATATATTTTTTTTTTTCCCCCTTTTTTTTAATAAGTCAAAATGATAATGTTTTAGATGCGTCTAATTTTAAATTAATAAAAAAATATTAAACCACTGTAAAATAAACTAATTTTTTAAATCAAATAAAACCAAAGAAACCAAAAAACACCATACAAAAAGCAAAACAATAATTAAATAAATAAACAAATAACACATTTAAAGCCTTTAATACTGAATGGTAGCAGTGTCTCAGTGGTAATAAAGTGTCTTTATGGAGAGCAGGCAGATATGAAACAGTCTGCTGCTTATTCTGCTGCCCAGCTCTAAATAAATACATAACACACAGCCAAACTCCCCCAAAAGAGATTCACCATATCAAAGTCTCCCAGACGGCTCAAAGTGAATTCTGATCCCTGCATATGCTAAAAACATGACCAGTGCTTACAAATCAAACTTCACAAAAAAAAATAAAATAATAATGCTACTACATTTCAGTAAGAATTACGATTTAAAAAAAAAAAATTACTTTCACAAATTAAATACAATTATTTAAAAGTATAATTATTTCAATTATATAAAAAACTAATAGCATTTAATCACAAAACATTCACATTAAAAGGTATCTAATCAACAATTCTGAAGCAATAAAACAGTTTTCTACATATGACAAATTATTTTTTTCCACCAGTAGAAGAGCTTCAAACTATTTGCATTGCTGCAGCAACAAAGAAACAAAGGTGTCATTTTCAAAACAGCTAATTAAAAATTAAGCTTCTGTCAATAGCAAACAATTATAATTATTTCACATGATGGACTGCAAAGCAAGCATTTTCACGTCTAATCAATACAAATAAGCTCACACCAGCATTTTACTAATGCAACTAATAAAAATTAAAAACACTAATATAAGATTATTATGTGCTCATATAGTTTTAAATACATTTTAAAACCAGAATTTAATTTACAGTTAAATATAAAACAAATTAAACTGCATGCATATTAAACATTTAACACAAAATCAATGCGATCATTAAATGATAAAACTGCAGCCAATGTAATTAATTTCTGTTGAACTCTGAGTCAGTTTCTGATTAAATAAATGTCATGTTCTTTGAAATCCAGTCAGACAGCCTGTGGTGTGTAAAAGTAGAGGAGGCGTTTATCAGAGTTAGTCTAAACTGACCAGACGTGGGGATGAAATTTGTAGTTAGTTGTTTCTGTCTGGCAGGCTGGTGTCATATAAGTGATGTTGGTCGGCTCTTACTGTGGTGTAGTGTGGTTAGACAGTGTGGCGAGAGAGGCTGAGTGAAGCTCGGTGCCACTGCCCACTGGTGGCAGGTTGGATAAATGACCAAGACTGGTGCTTAATAAAAACCAACAAACTCTCCATTGCCCATTCTTATCTTTTGTTTTGAAATAATAATGTCTTTAAAGCAGAGGTTATAGAATCATTTGCATTAGTTGACTAAACTGAACTTAGTTTTGAACTTAGGTTCATGCAGTGCCACTGGTCTCATATCTACCACTTCAATAAAATATATTTCCAGCAACACAGGGTATTTTCAGCATTCATAAACAATCATAAAATCTAAACTGTTAATTTACACCAAAAATTGTCAAAAATTCAAAGAGTATTTGTACAAATACCAGCAAATTAATGTTTCGATAGTTTTTCACATTTATCTAAATTATAAAGTTAATAAAAAATTAACAAATTAAATGATCCAGAAAAAGTTTGAACTGAGTCTGTACATTATGCAGTTGAAGCTAAATTAATTTCAGAAAACTGTGCAAGAGTAATATAATAAAAAATAAAATAATAAAAAATAATATTAAAATATATTATTATTATTATAAATAAATGGGAAAAGAATAAGAATATAACAATATTTAAATAATTGTAAAAAAAATCTATATCAATGACATTTATATGTAAAAATATTAATACAACATGATGATGATTTATAATCTTATGCCTCTAATAGTTACTGACAAATAAAACGCACTCATGACCAGGCTTCCGTTTCTATGTTTAGCATTCAAACTTCGCAATGTTGTGCATCCTGTTATCTGAAAGACTGCAGAGCCTCTCTTTCTCTTCTCTGTTACGACGCATTTGCCATATCCCGGCCTCTTCCCATGCCCTCCTGCCCTGGCAGGCACCTCCTCGAGGGGCAAGTGGCGACAGGGTCTGGCCCCTGGGCCAGCGGTCAGCGCAGGTCACCGCAGCCCCTCACTGGGGCTCAGACCCCCATAACCCGCCGCTGGACTGCCTCTTTAGTGCTCTTTTGTCCGGCTGTCTCAGACCGGCCGACTTCTTGCACATAACACAACAATGACTTGATCTCTCCGAGCTGTGACTGACACCCCAGTGACATTCTGGAAAATTCTCTGGGTTTTATTTTTGTGTGTGTGTGTGTGTCAGTGTTGTTTTAATTATACAACAAAACAGCTCACCTTTTAAGAACCCGGTTTAAGATGGGGCGAGGGAATGCATAGAGCTCGAGATTAAAGAACTGAGAGCATTTCTACGCGGCCAAACAAACGCTACAAAAGATCCATCACCATGAAAACATTCTGCCACAGCGTATTTGCACATTTACTGATACAAACACAAAAACGGACTGTTCGGTTTGATCCGGTTAAATGCGTAATTGATAAGTACAGCAATGATGCCGTGTCCCCCAAATCAGCCCTTCTCAAATAAACTCTATTTTAAGTCTGAATGGCTGAAATGAGACATTGCTAATAAATCCTACACCTCTGACGGACAGCCCAGTGTTTTATCTATTTGCGGCCCTTTGTTTGGCTTTGAAGTGAGTTTGTCTCTCTTTATGTCTCTGATGAACTAAAGCATGTATTGCTCTGGGCCTGGCGGTGAGAACAACACTTGACGGGTACAAAGCACGCTTGATAGCAGTAAGTGTACGTGTTTGTGTGTGTGTGAGATAAAAATGCCACGTGAATGAGTATGTTCCATATGTAACCATTCGCACAGGAATCGACATATAACTTGGCACACCAACATATTTTTACGTCCTACAACGAAAGCATGTTAACGTGGCAAAAATGCGTGCGTGCGCAATCAAAGCGGGAGGTGGCGAGCTCTCGGTGTTAAAAGCGACGGCCAGACTCTCCATTACAGCACAGCCTTGGCCTGGCCCCCTGTGTCTGTGCGTCCTGTTCTCTGATTGGCTGTCGTCTGTGGAAATGCCCACGGCTGAGGAGTCTAGTCAATCACAGAGAAAGAGGCATCAAAGACAGTGCGTGATGATTGGCGGAGGGAACAGATGATCTGAGGAGGGTCGGCACATATTTACACACACACATACAAAAACTCAAACAGAGATGCGAATTGAAAAAAAGATTTGATTACAAAAACTAAAAAATTACACCCTTAAGCATATCGAGCAAATGTAATAACAATAATAACATTTGCATAACCCATACGAATACAGAAGCGCAGCAACACACGAGACAAACCGACTGACCGGCAATATGGTGCCGCTCTCTCTCTCCCTCCCACATACTGTGAGAGAATCGGTGAGTGGCACGGGTCCGTATTACAGTCTTTCATTACAGGTTGGTGTGGTGTGCCCCCTCTAGGTGAATGTAAATCCAGGATACAGTATTATAAACCCGAGCCCTGTGAGGGTGAGATTGAGGCCTGCCTTTCAAGGCCACCTCTACTCTCCGCCCCACAGTTCTGGGTGACCTTGTCTGTCAGCGGCGCTACATGGGCTTCTTTTCTACTGTGCGAGAGCCCATTATCCTTTTCTCCGAGATACCACACACAAACCTCCTCTCTTTTTTTTTCCTCTCTGTGAGATTAAGACCGCTTTCACCCCCCCAGGTCCTTCTGCTCCTCTATACAAATATACCCGGTCCTGATTGGATGAGACGACACACACACAGACATACACAGCACTAGATCTGGGCAGTAAGCTGGTATATACCGTATACTGTCAGCGGGTTGAGATTTTGCTGTACTGTTTATACAGTGGTACATATTCGCACAGCAAAGACAATCTTGACATTGGCATTATTACACAACTTGTTATATAGGGGTGTTGTATGGCTTAACGAAAGTGTTTAGTCATTTATTGTTGCCAAGCAATGACACAATGAGCCATATTAATAGAAACCGATGTGTGTTCACAGATATGCATGTACCGGCAGTTTTACAGCAACTTCAGATAAGAATTAAGTATCTTAAAAAATTTTAGTTTTATAATTTGGGATGCAATAGTATAAAATTTCTAGCCAATGCCGATAAGTTGAACATTTTTACATGTGATATTTAATTGATAAATAGACATTATTAAAATTGTATACAAAAAAATTATACTAAAGTATACTAAAAAGAAATAAAACAGAAAAAAAAAACACTAAAATCAATTGCTACAGCCACATTTAGACATCATAACATTATAATGTACAGTATGAAAAAAATGGATATTACATTTTAATATTTGCTAAACTGTTAGTTAATAAAGGTACATTTCATGTAAAAATTGTTAAAATGAAATATCCAGTAACGATAAATAATAACAATAATAATAAAATATCTAATTATGACAATAAAAAATTCCAATAACCAAAATATCATGCATTCCATTTTGTAAT